GAGGGGAGGGGGAGGGGAGGCGGTCCCCACACAGGCAGCTCGGAGAAGGAATCCGCCAAGGGCTTCAGAATAGGTTCAGAAAGCTGTCCCGTTACCCCCTCAAGGGCCAGGACATCCTCAGAACGGGGTGGAAGCGCACCCCAGTAAGAAACAGGGACTGGGGCCGGGGATGTAGCTCATGGTGCCCTCGCCTGCCTCGCAAGGACTGGAGTTCGAACCCTGGTACCAAAAAAGAAAAGAAACGGGAACTGAATAGTCGCGCGAGTGTCCCAGAGGAGTGGAACCCGCTTGCCCGCTGCGTGCCCAGCTACCGAGGCCGAGTGGGGCTGCCCTGCTGAGGGTGACCTCGCCGCTCTCTGAGGGCCAGGGCGGGCTCTGTCGCACCGAGGGTGCTCCTGCTCCCGGGTTCTGGCAGGCCGGGGGACCTGTTCGCTTGCCCTGAAGGCACTGCCAGCTCCCTCCTGAGCCTTCCACAAAGGGCGCCTGGCCCCCGGGCCTCCTTTCCTCACCAGGTTCCCCTCTGTCCTCTGCGCATCGCGGTTGTTGGACACCGAATACGCTTCACTGACCGGCTGGCTGGGCTGAGGGCCTGGTGGGAAATGTTGGAGCCTTTTCCTGATATCTGGAGCTGACTGCCGAGGACACTGCCCTGCTCCGAACTCAGACTGTAAGTGGGTGTATTTACAGAGGGTCTCTGCAGGCCAAAGCGAAAAAGCACTGGACTCTCATTCGGGCTCTGACACACAGACTTATTGTGCCTCACGGGTTTGGGCAGCCCTTGTCACACACCAGCTAAAATGGCCTTGAGTATAACTTTTGTTTTGGGTTTTTTGTTGTTTTTTAGACAGGGTCTCACTATGTAGTTGAGACTGACCTGGAACTCACTTTGCAGCCCAGGCTGGTCTTGAACTCACAGAGATCCTCCTGCCTCAGCCTCCCCAGGGCTGGGGTTACAGGCGTGCACCACCACGCCCATCTGGAGAAGCCATATTTAACATGGAGGCTGCTATTCCACGTGGCGGCCATCCCAAGGCATAGAGCATTATGGGAAGGAGGCTACTGTTTTATGTAGCAGCCATCTTGAGGCAAAGCAAATCTAACATGAACTAGGGTTTAGGATTTGGGCAGCTGCTTTCCTTGGACCCACTGGATTCCCCTATAAACACAACCCCTCTCTGGTTGCAGATCAAGAATGCCTTACTCGGCCAGGCATGGTGGCGCACACCTGTAATCCCAGCACTCAGTAGGCTGAGGCCGGAGAATCACTGTGAGTTCGAGACCAGCCTGGGGTACATAGTGAGTTCCAGGTCAGTCTCAACTACATAGTGAGACCCTGTCTCAACCCCGCCCACCAAAAAGAATGCCTTACTGGCTGCATGACCCTTGGCCAACTACAAAGGGAACAAGACCCATCCCTAGAGAAACTCATCTCGCTACATCAGACCACAAAGCACACACATCTGGCGACAGAATCGCGAATGAAAGTCAGGCGCTACGTAAGTTCAGTCCACAAATACAAGTTACACAGCCTTTTAGATAGAGCGTTAAACTTAAAGCCACAGTTATCACACTGAAAGCAAAGCTGAGTAAACACAGCAAACCAAGCTCAGCAAACTACCCCAGGAAATGACAGCTCTTGGCGGGTTTTAGGACCCAGAAGAAGTCAAGATAGCTAGGGCTGCCACAGAGTTTTGAAAAGACAGAATTTCTCTTCCCACAAGGGGAGACACCGTAACTGTTAACCCTGTTTTTCTGAGCTATGTAGAACCAACAGCTAAAGAATTGGGGCACTGATAGCTGAAAGCCTGAGGGGTAGACACAGACAACAGAGAAGGGAGCCCCAGGGCTTTCGCTCAGTGGTTCTGCCGCCTGCCCTGCAGCCCTGCAAGCGTAAGGACCCGAGTTCCATCCCTGGTACAGAGGAAGGGCGGGCAGGAGGAAGAAGAAGCTGAGGAGAGGAGAGCAGGGAAGCTACTACGAGAAGGCCCTCCCACGAGTCCATGACCTGGGAGGCACAAACACCCTGGCCAAGTTCAGGGCAAACTACCAAGGACTCCACTGAGAAAAGCGACTCTTCAGGCGGCCAGTCCACGTCCCCGGGGCAGGTGACCACACCAAGGCACTCACGGATGGCTGCCTCTCCCTGCGGCACAGCCTCGGAGGTGGACTCTGCACACTGTGCCATCAGCGTCAGCCCAACTGACCCTCGGGGTCTCCGTCTCCCTTAAAGACAGAAGCCTTGTGCTCCACAATCCAGTCTTCTCCCCGCGGTCGGGTCGCCACTTACCGAGCACCAGTAAGAGTCTTGGGCGCTTGTACGAGGAAACAGGACGAAGGATGGAGCTACGCTCCTTTGTGGCTGGGTTGCTGGTCGCCCACATCTGCTGAGGTCTCCAAAGGTCTCTGGGCTGCCGAAGCCTCAGGCGTCTGCTGAGGTCTCTGGCCGCGGGGCAGTGAGGGCCCCTGGCTGCTGTCCACTGAGGTCTTCTGTGGACTGGTGATGTTCTCCAGGCTGGCTCGCCAGATCTTGCAGTTAACTGAGCCGATAAGAGTCCAGGTCCTTGTGTACAAGGAATGAATCACCACGGTACACCCAACAGTAAGTAGCTGTGTGTACTGACGGTCACGGGAAGTTGGGCTCAGGGCCAGTCTACGCCCATAAACACAGACCGAGGCACTATGTAAGCCGAGAGAAAAGCATTGCACGCAGGTCAGAGGTAGCACCAGCAACAGGCAACAGAGAGGCTGGTAACGCAGGCGCTCAGAACTGAAGGGCCAGATGCCTCTGCTTAGCCTCCCACTGCCCAGGGCATCAGTGATCTACTAGGCTTTTGTTACTTCATTTCCTACCTCTCTTAGGAAAATGGAAGCAGGAATAACTTTGGGTGCTGGTCAGAGTTATATGGAGGGAAGCCAGTGACTCCTCAGCTCCATTATTTCTTTCTTTCTTTTTTTGGGGGGGCACCAGAGATAGAACTCAGATCCTTATGCTTGCGAGGCAGGTAGTGGAACCACTGAGCTAAATCATCAGCCCTCAGCTCCTTTATTTCTAACTGTACTAAGCAGACTGTTTAGCAGAGGAAACCCACAGCCAGGCCAGGAGGAGAGCTAGGCTTCCCGCCTTGTCTTCCTGTGTCTACTCTGCTCCAACCCAGGACGCAGCTGCGGTGAGCGGCACAGTCAGGCTCGGGGCATCTGCTCTGCGTCACCTGCAGCAGGAACCGCATCTTTCCCGCAGCATCTCCAGGGCGGGAGCCGATGGCCACGGTGAGGACCACCGTGCTGGGCCGTGGACAGGCTGAGGGAGGGGGGAGACCGCGGGGAGGCTCTGGAGGAAGGCCCGGCCCTGGGCACCCTCAGCGGAAGGGGCAGCTCAGGAAGGCCCTAGGTGTGCTTGCTGCTGTGTGCTGGGCCTTGGAGAGGTGAAGACAGATCAGGAAGACAGTGGGTGCAGTGGGGGAGACCTGGTTTCTGTGGAAGTGTGTGCTGAGAACCTGGGGTCCTCCCTGCCCCCGCCTTGGGGAAACCACAGCCGGGATCCTTGTCAGGCAGTTCCCTTTCCTGTGAGCTGCTGACGGGACAGCCCTGTGACTGGGAGGCCTGGTCTAGAAGTAATCACACCCTGTGTGCGGCCTGCCAGGCACTGTGGTCTCCGCAAGCTACACAGCTGGGGCGGGCGTGAGGAGACGCCATGACCCCCAGCCTCGCAGCCCTGCTCTGCCTGGGTGAGACAGGAAGAGGGCAGGGGACACCCCGCTCTGGGAGGGGACACCCCGCTCTGGGAGGCCCCCACCCCACAGCCAGCCCTGCTCCATCAGGAGACCCAGGGCTCAGGAGGCCCTGGGAGGAGAGGACCTGCTCAGGCTCCGGGGCAAACCTCTCACGGGGAGCTCTCTTCCAGGGCTGAGTCTGGGCCCCAGGACCCGAGTGCAGGCCGGTGAGTGTGTCCCCAGCTGTCCCTGTCCCTCCTCCTCCCGGGGAAAAGGGGCCACCGTGGGCAGTGGGGAGGGAGAACAGCAGGTGTGGGCCGGTGCTGGGGAGGTGTGGAGGGTCCTGGGGCTGAGAGCTGGGGTGTGAGGGAGCAGGACGGGCCTGAGACCCAGCTGTGATCTCCCTCAGGGACCCTCCCCACACCCAGGCTCTGGGCTGAGCCAGGATCTGTGATACCATGGGGGAAGCCTGTGACTCTCTGGTGTGAGGGGACCCTGATGGCCCAGGACTATCATCTGAATATAGAGGGAATCCAAGTGCCCTGGGACAGCCAGCAGCCACTGAAGCCCAGGAACAAGGCCAAGTTCTCCATAGAATACATGACAGAGCACTATGCAGGGCGATATCGCTGTTACTACCGAACCCCTGCTGGCTGGTCAGAGCCCAGTGAGCCCCTGGAGCTGGTGGTGACAGGTGAGAGGACACTCGGGGGCCCAGCCCCGGCTCTGCCCTCAGGAGGGGTCTGCACTCAGGGTGTCCCCTCTCACAGCCCAGCCCAGGGGACAGTGTGGGAGGGGTGAGTCCATGTAACGCGCTGCCTCCTCCTCTCCTAGGAGTCTACGGCAAACCCAGCCTCTCGGCCCTGCCCAGCCCTGTGGTGACCTCAGGAGGGAC